TTTATTTGTAAATATAAGTATCCAATGACAAATATAACATGGAGTTAAATACCTTATGAAAAACCGAGAAAAACAAAAAGATTTATCAAGAGCAGACACAACGATCATAACAAATAGCACATAAACATGAAAAAAGAATCAATAATTAAGTATATAATAAATAAAAATAAAAAATGAACACAAGCAAGACACGCAAAATTAAGCAAATGAAGAAGCACAAACAAATTGAAATATTGGTTGCTAATAATATGTATTCACTGTATATAGTATACCATACATGTATATAGAGTATATATAGAGAGAAATAGTTAAGTGACTTGCTTGCAAGTTATTAGTCGAGCATAAAGATGATTCAAATGCAATTAATCAAATTAACTATGCAAACTAAAAGATTGATTACTAATGTTACAAATATTATATAATATATTACATGGATTAGGTTTCAAACCATAGTTAATGGCAAGTTATCGAGCTTACTTATGTTGGTAAGGGATTTACAGCAGTAGCTGAGCTATTGTAATTATAGATAGATAATGTGTTTAAGTTGAATATATATAGGGAAAGTAAATGAGCAACAAGATTCAACAAAGCAAATTGGAAAAACAAAACAAAACAAGCACATGAACATGTAAAATGTAACGATGTAAGAATTCATGCATTACGTGAAATATTTGTATAGTATAAATAGATCAAATCTATTGTAGCTATAGGTAAATATAAATGAATTAATTCATAATAGAATAAGCATTACAGGAATATTTTCAATAAGTAAATGTTCACATAGAGTTAAAGCAATGAAAATTCAAGTTCTTTTGTAGGCAACAAGCATCAGCAACAACAACTCAGTATACTTACTGCACAACAATAAATGGCTCCATTTCTAACATGTTCCTATGAAAATATAGAATAATTATTGTTATAGTTCAGGATCAAGCGGGGGATAAATATGTGAAAGTACATGTACAGGTAACTATATGTTGGAAAATTATATCAAATGATCAAATTAACAGATTATACACATACATGAGTCACCATGATATAAATTCACAGTTGTACTGGTACACGAGCAGTGATATAGTGAATCATGATTGTAAATCATTTATAGAATTGGAATACACGATAATATATGCACATATATGATCAACAAGACTGTCACTTGGTCTGTACTGGTGTTGAAGTCATAGAGTGACTCAATGGTGCAAAGCTAGCAGCACTAGCATTGAGTATATGGACCCGGTCACCAGAGCGAGTACCAGTGGATACTGATGGCAGCATAGTACCAGTTACATTTACTTTGAGCTTCAAAAATTTCTCAAGTTCTTTGCCGTGAGCCACCTGAACAATGTTCTCCTGCAATGTTTTGACCATTATCCTGCCATCATAGGTCCAGCAGCTGAGTATTTTGTGATCTTTAACAAGGTCCATTGTTTTCTTGAACAATGCTGCTCTTTGTTTTGTCAAAGTTTCATTAATGAAGACACTACACCTGTTGTTTTTCTGAGAAGAGTTATATGATTTCAGATGTTTGTTATTTCTGAACACAAAAGCTCTGTCCCTGTAGCTGACAAAACGCACTATGATATCTCTGGGCATTGGAAACTGGTTTTGGGTGGGATATAAGACACGACGGTTAACTCTATGGGTCCTGCCAATCTGGTGAAGCTCAACCGTTTGACGAACAGGTTGAAGAACATGCTTATTGATAACATTGAGAATTAACTTGTCAGTGTCTTCTCCTTGCTGCTCTGGGATGCCAGAGAATTTGAGGCAAGTCCTCCTAGAGTATTGCTCCATGTCATCAATACGGTCAGTAAGAAGGGAGATCTGATCATAGCCTCAATCATGGGAAATAATGATTCTGTTATGGCAGTCTTGAAGACATCATGACCAAGTATCATGTCAACAGCACGTCTCGTTGTTGTCTCATCATCAGATATGCTCTTAAGTAAAATATCAAGATCATTGAGAACTAGATCATCTTCGTCTCTACACTGACGTTTCGTAGGGTTGGACTCGTCACTGGTTGACTGTGATTGAGTATTACGATTATTTCTCCTACTCATTATTAGTTATTAAGGACTAGAAAACTCCAATGTTTATGATATAGGTATCAACACACTTACTATGATAAGGTAGACAGCGCTAAAGTTTTGTTCATCATATCGTTCAGGTCAACTCCTTCCATAGATTTATTAAATTTGCAAGTCGTCTTTGGTTTGTTCCCCAATAACTTCGCACTTTGAAATGTTGATACCATGCGTACCAGTTTCTTGTCACCGTCTTTATAGGCCAACACGAGGATAGTCCCATTCCTCATTAAGATCGAGTTGTCTTTGTCCGGTTTTGCCTTCTTTATTGTTTCTGGTATTAGTCGATTATGTCGTAATGTTCCGGTCATATAATGTTACGTACTAAATGTTTCAAGCATTTTAGCAAGTCTTATTGATGACAAAAAATGTCACAATATACATGATACCGTTTGTTAAAAAGATCTGCTTCCGACAGTAATTTGACAACTACATCACACCCCTGTAGGTGGCCACGCAGGACAGGGTCATACTCTTTACCTCGGTATATATGTTTACGAAGGACAAAGCCAGTGACGGACTCTTCCAGCATCCAAAACTTAATACCAAGTTTGGAATGCTTGGTCGGAATAAACAGTGTCATTACTGAACGGCCTTTGTACCAATAAGAGTTTCGCCGACTGAACGTTTCTGAATTGGTTGGTACAGATATTTCGCATTCATATTGAAGTGATCAACTACGGGTTGAAATTTGGCGGCCGGATCATATCCATGTTGTGTTTTAGTTGGCGTCTTATGATTGTCCGCAATGTGTAAAAAAAAATCAAGTTACCGAAAAATAACTATCACAACTAAGAAAAGTCATTTATTTCAATGTAAATGGAACATGATTTTTTTCGGACTTCTCTTTCTAAAAACTAAACTACCTAAACGCTCTCTCTCCTCCGATCCGAGATGAAACTACCTAAACGCTCTCTCTCCTCCGAGACTAAACTACATAAGCGCTCTCTCTCCTCCGAGACTAAACTACTTTAACGCTCTCTCTCCGTGACTAAACTACCGAAACGCTCTCTCTCCTCCTATCCTAAACTACCTAAACGCTCTCTCTCCTCCGATCCGAGATGAAACTACCTAAACGCTCTCTCTTCTCCGAGACTAAACTACATAAGCGCTCTCTCTCCTCCGAGACTAAACTACTTTAACGCTCTCTCTCCGTGACTAAACTACCGAAACGCTCTCTCTCCTTCGTGACAAAACTACCTATACGCTCTCTCTCCTCCTATCCTAAACTACCTATACGCTCTCTCTCCTCCTATCCTAAACTACCTAAACGCTCTCTCTCCTCCGTGACTAAACTACCTAAACGCTCTCTCCTCCGTGACTTAACTACCTAAACGCTCTCTCTCCGTGACTAAACTACCTTAACACTCTCTCTCCTCCGTGACAAAACTACCTAAGCGCTCTCTCTCCTCCGAGACTAAACTACCTTAACGCTCTCTCTCCGTGACTAAACTACCGAAACGCTCTCTCTCCTCCGTGACAAAACTACCTATACGCTCTCTCTCCTCCTATCCTAAACTACCTAAACGCTCTCTCTCCTCCGTGACTTAACTACCTAAACGCTCTCTCTCCTCCGTAACTANTAACTACCTAAACGCTCTCTCTCCTCCGAGACTAAACTACCTAAACGCTCTCTCTCCTCCGAGACTAAACTACCTAGAATGTAAACACTCTCTCTCCTCCGTGACTTAACTACCTAAACGCTCTCTCCTCTGTGACTAAACTACCTTAACGCTCTCTCCTCTGTGACTTTACAACCTTAAAGCTCTCTCCTCTGTGACTAAACTACCTAAACGCTCTCTCCTCTGTGACTAAACTACCTAAACACTCTCTCTCCTCCGTGACTAAACTACCTAAACGCTCTATCCTCTGTGACTAAACTACCTAAACACTCTCTCCTCTGTGACTAAACTACCTAAACACTCTCTCTCCTCCGTGACTTAACTACCTAAATGCTCTTTCCTCTGTGACTAAACTACCTAAACGCTCTCTCTCCTCCGTGACTTAACTACCTAAATGCTCTTTCCTCTGTGACTAAACTACCTAAACGCTCTCTCTCCTCCGTGACTTAACTACCTAAACGCTCTCTCTCCTCCGACACTAAACTACCTAGAATGTAAACACTCTCTCTCCTCCGTGACTTAACTACCCAAACGCTCTCTCTCCTCTGTGACTAAACTCCCTAAACGCTCTCTCCTCCGTGACTTAACTACCTAGTCAATGAGTTTTAGGGTGTGAAGGGTGTGCTGTAAATTTTCCACACTTTGCTTTCGCCACAGTATTGGTGTCATCAACGTACATTTGCATATTTTACTTTCCGCCGACTCGATACCGAATTAGGAACTTTTGTTTAAACTTGAATAACAAAACACCAGTTAGAAGATGCTTTAAAATGTCTAGAAAATAACGTTATTCTAACATGTTTATTTCTTTTCAATATGTTCTTTTTTTCTACATGCATCATAATGTTTGAAACAGCGTTAGTAGCCAAAGAAAGATAACTCTTAAACATCTTAGATACAGCTGTTAATTAATGGGTGTTTGTAGAACATTTGTTCAAATATGTTATACCCAGCCCCATATACTGTATTACACTCGTCAATGAGTTTTAGGGTGTGAAGGGTGTGCTGTAAATTTTCCACACTTTGCTTTCGCCAGTGGTCCAACTCAAAATGAAAATAAATATTAACAACATGTACAGCTGGGAAAGACCGGATTGTGAGGAAAGAAAATCACATGAAAAACACAGAAAGTGTCCGAATTCGGCAGAGTCGTATGTAACAGACGAAAGAATACACAATTTGATGAGGCCCTTGTATTTGTTTTCAATAGAAAAAGTAAATTAAAAATTGTCCGGAATTATTGGTCTATATCCTATTTCCAGTTTACTTGCTCAAAGGGACATCACTCTAACAAGATTTTGATGCCGATGAAGCAAGGAAAAGTGAAGGTAAACAAACTTAAACTCCGACCAGAGATTAACGGAGGGAATAACACTAAAGAAGAAGACTGACAACTATATCGCTATGTACTCGTCATATAGACTATGTTCAATAATGCATGAATATATACTAGACTCCCAAATACAGTACTATCAATTGCAACTATTTTTAAGTTCTGTCACCACTGACCAGGTCAACAATCAATACCCCAAATAGGTTAATTCCTGTAGGAACTCTTTCTAAATCAGAGATTTATAACGTATAACACCAAACACCGAACTTGTGAATTTGGGAATAGAAATTAGTCGAAAATCTGATGTCGGGGGTCAGAGTAAACAGACAATTATTGTCATAGAACAACAAAACAAAATAAACTCAAACAGATTTGATTATTGATAACAATTTGAGAAATAAGGGTGAAATGAAGCCCTTTCCCTATAGCCTGGTCCTAAATTTAGCTATCCAAGACTGAACTAGTGTTTTTGTCATTCATTATGTAGACTACATTAGTCCTACAAATTGTAGTAAAATAAAGGAAAAATTAAAGAAAAAAGTTGGTAAGAAAATTGATGGAAGCCTTAAGCTTCATTTCCCCATGGAGCAGTTCATATAACCATAATGGTTAAATGAACCACAGCTCATGTTACCATTATTACGTACTAAACTACACCAGCAATCAATCCTGTCCAGTGAGCAGACAATTACATGTACAGTACAAAAAGAACAAAGTCAAATTAAAACTTTCTTTTTCTATAGTTCTACATCTATCAGTTTTATAGTACATAATACCAGATCTTTTTAAAATCAATATAAAGTGATTTGCCAGGATTCTTCGATATAATATATCATATCATTAGATCATGTGTTTATAATTTACCTTTTTTTCAATGTCCTACCCTACATTAGCTTAATTAAAGCTACATGTATCGGACCATATCAAACCAATTGCAAATATAGGCCTAATCATTAGGAAAAAACCAATTTGTTTTCAGTCTGTAAAGCAGGACACTTTTGTCCCTGTAAACAAGGATATTTCCACAAAAGCCTGCAGGCGTGACAAATACTGTGTAAATATTTATGGCATTGGTATTTATACATACTAAATTAAGTGCAAATTCAAGCAGGCAAGAACATATTTTCTAAAGCAACAAACATTTGCTGTTCCTACTGATACTGTAACGACATATACTTTTATATTCAAATTATTCACCCATTATTCAAACCCTGTTCAGTTATATTTATATGCACCAAACAAATAGATATTGTTAACAATGGACAATGATCACAAGTGTGATACAATGTAGGCAGGACGATCACAAGTGTGCTACAATGTAGACGGGACAATCACAAGTGTGCTACAATGAAGTGGACAATCACAAGTGTGCTACAATGGAGTGGACAATCACAAGTGTGCTACAATGAAGTGGACAATCACAAGTGTGCTAAAATGTAGTGGACAATCACAAGTGCGCTACAATGTAGTGGACAATCACAGGTGTGCTACAATGTAGTCAGGACAATCACGAGTGTGCTACAATGTAGTGGACAATCACAGGTGTGCTACAATGTAGTCAGGACAATCACAAGTGTGCTAAAATGTAGTCAGGACAATCACAAGTGGGCTACAATGTAGTGGACAATCACATGTGTTCTACAATGTAGTCAGGACAATCACAAGTGCGCTACAATGTAGTGGACAATCACATGTGTTCTACAATGTAGTCAGGACAATCACGAGTGTGCTACAATGTAGTGGACAAGCACAAGTGTGCTACAATGTAGTCAGTACAATCACAAGTGTGCTACAATGAAGTGGACAATCACAAGTGTGCTAAAATGTAGTGGACAATCACAAGTGGGCTACAATGTAGTGGACAATCACAAGTATGCTCCAATGTAGTGGACAATCACAAGTGCGCTACAATGTAGTGGACAATCACAGGTGTGCTACAATGTAGTGGACAAGCACAAGTGTGCTACAATGTAGTGGGCAATCACAAGTGTGCTACAATGTATTCAGGACAATCACAAGTGTGCTAAAATGTAGTGGACAATCACAAGTGCGCTACAATGTAGTGGACAATCACAAGTGTGCTAAAATGTAGTGGACAATCACAAGTGTACTACAATGTAGTGGACAATCACAGGTGTGCTACAATGTAGTCAGGACAATCACAAGTGTCCTACAATGTAGTCAGGACAATCACAAGTGGGCTACAATGTAGAGGACAATCACAAGTGTGCTTCAATGTAGTGGAGAATCACAAGTGTGCTACAATGTAATCAGGACAATCACAAGTGTGCTACAATGTAGTGGACAATCACAAGTGTGCTACAATATAACGGTTCTTGGGTAGTAGTAATACTATGTGATAAAAATATTATCTTGTGATAATTAAAGCTTTATCTTGTCTTTATAGATTTGCGAAATTCTATGGATGAACAGGAAACCTAACTCTTGGACATGATGATCACAAGGAATCGAATATCTGCAATCTTAAGGAAAATTAAAGAGACTGATGCATTTTTGAACACAAATGTAGCACAATTTGAAACAGTACCAAAAAGATTTTCAACTAGAAGGTGTTGTTGTTTCATTCAATGGGCCCGTGATGAATACAAAAACATACATTCATTTTTAAGTGCCAAAATGACACTGGATGCAAATATACCTACATGTGATAAGGACAAAATACCTGTATCTAACGTAGATCAATACCTAACACCTAGACATCTGTCACATAGTAACATTTTTCATAAACAAAGTAATTTTTCAACAAATTTAAGATTTGTATATTCAAGAAGTAAGATAAGTTTTTCTGCAAGTAGACATATTCACAGCAGCTTTCATAATTCAAAAACTCATCCGATATACAAAGAAGGAGGTGGCGATCTGGAGGATGAACTAGACTACATGAAGGATGATGAAGGTTATTGTCTATTCCGTGGAACATCACTAGTACCTCCCAATTGCAATCCCTCCTTGAAATAATAACTAGTATATGACCACCCTCCTTAGCGGTAGTCTTGCCCCTGTCCACAAGTCTCCAAAGTAATGATGTCTGCTTGTTCAGATTGTACTCTAAATACTTAACCTGTTTAAGATAGTGCTTATGAAAACATTTTGCCCTCTGAAAACAATGTTATCTGAATTTTATCATGTGAATGGTAAACTTTTTTGAAATTCATTTTTTGAAATCATTTGAAGTCCATTTGTGTAATGCTACCAACTTCTGCTCTGATAGAATTAACTGTATGTCTGCAGATTGCACCTGTTTGACAATTTCAGATGAGGAAGAAATACTTTCAAAGGACAAGGAGTACCAGGAATTGTTACGGGAGTACTGCAGCATCCCTGGTATGGGTCAGAGGGTTTTGGTGATACAACCAGGTAGGAACCAAATGATACAGTATTACTGTAGTACAGGTAGGACCCAATGATACAG